CGCTAAGGCGCCGGGGCCTCTCCGCCGCCGGCCGCCGGCCTGCTGGGGCTGCGGGCTCCTGCTCCCGGAGACGCTCTCTGGCCGCCGGCCGCTCCCGCTGCAGCTCCCGGAGGTCGCCATGGCGCCGCTTCAACTGCTTCCCTGTGCCGGGGAGGGGAAGAGCGCGAGCCGAGCGCGCGGGGCGGGGCTTGAGCGAGGGGGCCACCCAGGAGGGCCTCGCCTTCCGCGGTGTCACGCGGCTCGCCCGGGGAGGTAGGAGAGAGGACGAGGCCCGCCTGGTCGGGGAAGAGGAGCACCCGTAGGGCTGCTGTCTGGGGCCGGAGGCGGAGCGGGTGCATCGGGAGCCTGCACGAAAAGCGCCGCGTAACCAGCCAGCCAGCAAACCGCAGCAGCAGCAGCTGTGAATCCGCGTCGTGCATTTTGGCTGGCTCAGCAAACCGTATTCTTCACCCCCGGCTTGATTCGGATTCGTTCCTTTTTTACGATCTTTCCGGCGTCTGTCATCTAGTGGACCAATAAGTAACAGAGTTGGAAGGGACCTTGGAGGGCTTCTAGTCCTAACCCCCTGCTCAGGCAGGAAATCTTATACAATTTCAGACAAATGGTTGTCCGATCTCTTCTTGAAAGCTTCTAATGTTGGAGCATCCACAACTTCTTGGAGGCAAGCCTCCCCAGATCCGAGATAAAAAAAAAGAAATAAGACTTTATTTATGGACGTATTTGTTTATTAAATTTATATGCCGTCCATCTCTGTTCGCGAAGTGACTCTTGAGTGGCTTACAATTGCAGTCGTAAATATTAAACTACTAAAAAGATTTATAGGAGACTTTGCCCGTCTTCCAGGTCTCCCTGATAAGGAAGAAACAACGTGGTTCCACCTATTTGCCGCAAGGCTGTTACCGGTATGAATGGACTGGTTTCTCCTGGGTGAGAGCCAGAGGGGCTGAGAGTTGGTGAAGCTGTAGTGCCTCCTGCAGCATAGCTTCTCTTCCCAGATTCCCTGTCTTTGATCTTCAGGGATTTGGTTTTTTTGCCCAATATGGAAAAATGCATACCACCGGAAGAAGAGGGGACCAAGGAAGCACTGGATGGTGTAAGATAAGATAAGATAACCTTTATTGTCATTTTTATACTGTGAGCACAATGGTACACATCAAAAATGAAATTTAGTTGCTCATTCTCAAAGTGAAACACATACATGACGCACACCTAAACATACTATGAACAACATATGTATAGACCCACATCCCTACATATACATAGCAAATAAATATTAAATATTGTCCATCTTGAATATATAACGGAAGGAGGAAGCTTGAGAGTTTGCAAGGTTAATGCTGTATGGAATGAAACTCTGGCTGAATCTGGATGTTCTGCTTCGGATACCACGAAGCCTCCTCCCAGAAGGTAACAAGGAAAACAGGTCATGAAGAGGATGTGTA